TATCTGAAGGTAAATAGTACTATTTGGTCACGTACACCAAAGTAGGTTACGATTCTGTAGTATTTGTGATGAAAGAAACTCATAAGAACCTTCCACACCTAATTCTCTTAATCTGGATGATATTGATATATACTTCCACACAAAACGTACGCCGCTCGAGCATATTCCAGTCGCCTGGGTGTGCTTCAATACACTACCAAGTTTTTCAGTAAGGTGTAGATGAAAGTATGACTAATAAGTAGTGAGTATTTAAATCAGTGAAGTAGTTTCGACTTCCGTTCTTTTTTAAAACTAATTCTCGACGGCGTTCTAGATCAGGACTGTATTGGTTAATAGACTCAAATTTCACATCGAAAAACTTTCTTTTGTAGCTCTGTCAGCAGTAAAAGCAGTCGAATATTGTTGCGTTATAGATAAATTTATTCAGTATATCTCAGTGATGCAGCATTACACAAAGGATGACGTTTTACTGCTATAAGAATGGGCTTACTCACTGTTAAACGAGTAAGGAAATCCCTCCGGTAGAAAACTAAATTTCATCGTTCACCAGATGTTTAAATTAAGTGTAAATGTGTGATTTCGAAATGCATTTTTGATTATCAGTTTTCCAAATTTATGAACTTATTCAGTATAGTAGAAGTGATGGGTTATTACAGTTTGGATTCAAATTTTGCTTGTCTGTCAGGTTTTACAGCTATAAATTGGAATTGTACGGTGTCAAACAAGTTAAGTTTAGAGCGAATACATTTTTTTAAAAATGGAATGTGGGTTAAAGACTTTCAGGAAGTTGATTTTGTTGGTTTGAAAATAACATACTAACAGACAAAGAATGTGATGGTAAAAAAAGACATAGAAAATAAGGAAAATGAGAGTAGCTTTTAGTTTTTGAAGTCCAAGGGAGGAATAACGCCTGAACATATTTTTTTCTGAATGTCACGTTCAGGCTTGATCAATCTTATTGCAACAACCTCAGATATGTTGAACATGCGTTGGCGAGCTACACGTGGTATTTTATTTGATACAGGATTATGACATTCAAGGCTCTGTTAGCATCTGTGTGGGATGCCCTGTTTGATAGGCGCACTTCACCTTTTCCAAACCAAGTCGGTAAGTGTGTTTTCCGCCAACTTAATTCCCTTAGTATGTTCATCTATATCAGAGATGTGGTCCACTTTGAGCAGCGTGCACCGAGATTTTGACTCTGTATTGTGCACTGAAGTTTTGATCGAAGGTCTTAACTCCATTAAGTCGATAAAATACTACCTTTTGTAAATCACTCAATGTGAATCATTCTGCCAGTGTGATATCATGTGAATGTCAGCCTTACAGGGTATCTGCTGGCGCAATTAGAACTTTGTTGCTGACTTCCAATAATATTCCACGAGATAAAAGGCACTAACTTTTACAAAATTCCCAGAGTTTGATGCGAGACTTTCAATGAACTCGTGAACTGCATACAAAATGATTACTTGCCTAGTAAATAACTGGGTTTCAGTAAAGTATATTATCGATTGAAGATATGGTTTTTTTTAATTTTAGACCTTACAATTTCTCGCTGAACCGTGGTCAGTTGAATCGTCATGGAATTCAGTTTGTCTAATCCCATCCTTTGCAGTAAATACTGATTCCCCTCAATCGCTCGTTGAATACAATGACTCCAAGGTACAAAATGGACTTTACTACCCACCAGGGGTTAAAGCGATATTTTCTCCCCCTTTCTTGCGTACAGAGCAGCTTCCTAAACTCTACGTGACTTCTCGCTTATCAAATAACGTACGAGATAACGTCGGTTTAAATACTCATCAGGAGCTATTCTACCTTTGGCGCTGGGTGTTCCTCTTTTATTATTACAGACGTATGGTGGGACAACCGATTGAATTTGAAGAAGACTTCAAAGACCCAACTATCCTACTCCAGTACCTGCTACAGCAACTGAATTCTATCACTTCTCGGCTTGGTTTCCAAAATGAAGACACTTGTTTACAGACAATTAGGGGTTTGAACAACTTTTTTGGCTTACTGGCAGCAGTTTTGATGGCGCAATTTTGCAGCTCTGGGACCTCGTATCATGAGGTTTGCTTTTTCATGTTTATTCCTTACTTAATCTAAATTCAAGTGTTTCGTGAGTTAAGTTTTCAGTTTCACGTGATTATGGGATTGTTTTAGAATAGACTACTGTGATTTCTGCATACAATCTGGCGAAATTCAAAGGACAGTTACCTAAACAGATAGGATATTAGCTGCCTAGCTAGCTCATTGCTCGGGCAAATCGCCACTTATCCTTAGAACTGCGTTTTTAAGGTCTATTTTTGTTTTTGTTGAGGGGTACTGTATTATAAGCTTCTGTATTCCTTGGTGGCAGAAAAGACTAGCCTAAAATAAAAAGTGGATTCTCAAGGTAGTCATCGGTGATTTGCATTCTGTAATAGTTGAAAGTTTAATTTGGGTTGGAGTGTAAAACTCCATTTCTTAAACAATGTCAGCATTGTCACTTATCTGTACTTGTCACGTCTAAAAACATTCTTAGCTCGACGGTCAATATCTAAATTGTACTAGATGCAATAACTGGTTAGGTCAAATGATTCAATGCCGTAAAACACCCGATTGTGTGCTGAAATCGGGCATATTAACCAAAACAAACATTGAAATATGGTCTGTGGAATTTTACTACTTGACTTGAATTTAACATCCGATGAAGTGTACTGCAATGTACCTGATTTGCATTCAGTGCTTTTCACGTCCTTATTAAGATTTAGGAAACGAACACCATATCATCCGGCAACCAATTGGTTGACTGTTATGGAAAATCTCACTCAGTGATTCTTTTTTATAAAAAAGGACTTCATTTCTATCTGATTAAGATTAATTGAAGTATTATAGGCATAAATAATGCGATTGACTGAGAACTTGTAGGATTCTAGTTTTTTTAATAAAATGTATCAGGTTTATCGCGTTACTTCTCACATACTGGTTTTTTAATCTTATTCAGATAAAGACTAAGGTCTTCATCGATCTCCTCAGAGCGCAAATGAAGTTTGACACTCAAGAATGTCAACCAAAAAGAAAAAGAGTACGCCTTGAAATGGACTTTTCCGTTTGTAAAGGAGTAATTTTAAGTACTGGTCTTTGGAATATTTTAGTCGACCTAGCCAATAATGACGCAAATTTCGGTTACTTATGGTAAGCATGACTTGTTGATTATATGCAGCAATGAATTAGCAGAACGAAACTTAACTTTTTTGTTCATTTGATTCACGACCAGGTTTCAAATATGACTCCGTCTATGTGAGTTTGTAGAACCAGATAGTAGCAGTTTAATGGGTGCCGCTCATTATTCAAGACACTAACCTACTGAGAACATACTTCATTGTATTTATTTACCAAGCGGCATTCATTATTCACCGTAACTTTATACTAATTCTCTAGAACAGTTTTCCCCTTTTACTGTTTAAAACATTTCTTATATGGTTTACTTCAATAAGGTTACCTTTAGCCTTTTTTGTGCATGTAACTGGCTCTCCATTAGTTCGTTTTGTTTATAGTTTAGAGTCAAACAGTAGATATAAATTAAGGGAAATAATCAAAAAGTTACTACAATTTACGCTTTCCCTTCTGCATCGTGCACAATGAAATGGCGCTGATATTTTTTTGTATTCATTAATGAACTGATGCTAGAAAACGTCTGGTCTTATTTACTTGTCTTTTAAGATCCTGGCTTTACTATAGTTTTTTTTAGCTGATAGAATGATATTTAATAGATTTTCAAAATATCTACCATCAATTTAAATAATGTGGGCCTAAACCCAGTTTTACCCAAATCATAAGTTAGGTTACTATTGATCCTGGTATCTACTGACTGGTGCCATTCGAAGTGCACTCAGCAACCTTGTGCACATTCGTGCACCGGGCAATGGGCGACACTTATTGTGTAAAAGCCGGTGGTACTACCTGGCTGTCCAAACCTAGGTAAATGGAATGGGGTTTGAACCCCGTGGCCCAATAGTTAGTAGTCACCTCCCTAAACCACTGAGCCACACCTCCACTATTGATCCTGAACTGATGAGTATCCTTTACAGTCACATGAACGGCGGCAAAATTGTTGAAATTCGAAGTTTAGTTGATTGTTTTAAAAACCATAAATATTGAATAGTCAACACATGATTTCATTTATTTTGTACATGTCTGAGCATTATTTTTAAGACAAAACGCACCTGTGTATGTTAGTTTTAATCGTCGATGCACTTTGTAACATCGCGCAAGTGTTCTACGTAGGACTAAGCTTGCAGTTAATAACTTAGTCTTATATTTCCTTATGGATATTCCCCGCCACCTTATTTCGTGATGGTTGGTCGGGGTGTGTACTGTGTCGTGCTCATTGCACGAAATATACCCACATTCTTGGTTCATGTGGAGAAAATTAGATGAGTTTGACTTCGTTTCATGATCAGAAAACTGAATTTCAAGTGCCTACGCATTTGAGTTACATTTTCGTCACTATTTAGAGATTAGTTTGTATCTCTGTGATTAACTTCGGTTTTAACCATCATGTTTTAGGTGGCTTGTTATTGATTGGATCATCCGGTTTATTTGGCAGACCTCTGAGATATTGCGTTCAGAAGGTAAAAAGTGTGAAATCCTGGATGAAATTCAGACAATTCTTGAGTTCATTAGTACTTCAGTCAAAGTTAAGCGGATGTGAGTTCTTATCATCCACTAAGCAGTAAAGTTTTTAAAAATACGTAGTGCTCCTCTTGAGCTAAGGTTATTTTCATTCTAGTTGACGGCATATGTTGTGTTATCCAATATCGTATACAGCCTGTTATATATTTTTCATGTAGAAAGTCTTTGGTTTTGATGGCAAACTAACATCGAATGTACCTAGGATGGTATGTGAATAAACTTGTCCGTCTGTGGTATTATACTTACTATTTCTAAGTTATGGTGTTACTTGCGTTATCGATTTCTCCGGAATGGTCATTTGAATCAAAAATCCACCAGTTAATTTTAGTGATTTCTTATTTTCTATTTTCAAATAAAGCGGAATGTGTCAAGTCACTTAAATCGCACTGTGGTTTGACTCAGTTATTCGGTCTAAGCACTTTTTGGTAGTAATGCTGGTCCAGCATCATGTATGCCACGTTGGAGAGGAAAAAGTCAGTAGTAAATCCTAATAACCACGAGTCACTGTAACAACGGTCAGCAAAAATCGAAGCGCATTCTGCAACCTTGTGATCCTTCATGCAGTAGACAATGGGTCACACTTATCGTGTGATGCCTATTGATATTACCTGACTGTTCATTCCTTGGTAGGTGGGTGGAGTCCAAGCCTGTGACCCGATGGTTAAAAGTCAACTGCCTAAGCCGATGAGCTGCAGCTCCACTGAAAGTCTATATATATATACATTTATAATATGCGCATGTATGAATGAGCATTGAAAGCGCAAATATTTTTAGGCAAGATATCTATAGACTTCGGTTCATTTCGCATATGGGAAAACAGTAGAGAATTCAATTGACGATTGTTTAAAGTGCAAAATGAAGTTGCTCTCTGTATGTATTAATGATGGATCGTAGCACGTTACTTTTATTTTCATACCGTTCATCAACTTATTTAGTCTGCAACTAAGCAAGTTCTTTATTCACTGTATAACTAGGGCTAAGAACCATGATATTTTACATTGTTTTAGTGTAAAAATTTGATAAATTCGTCAAGTTTATTCTATCCATGAAACAAAAGCCATAATGTTAAAATATTGTTATTGAGGCTGCATGCTTTACGTATACTCAACACCGCTGATCTATGATTGTTATATCCAGATTGCTAATCATTTGAAGCCATCAATATGAATTACTGGTATAGTCTTTTAAAAGTGAACTGAATTGACATTTTGTTCATTGAGTAATTAATATGTAAGTGGTGAATACCTTTGGTAATTTGTGTCATTTTTCTCCCTTTGGTACTTATCAGATCATTGGCAAACGAATGTTTAGTGACCGTGTTGCATACGCTTGTTGTTTTATTGAATTGCGAAATGTGTCATGGTTCGATTTTACAAGTGTTATCAAATAATGCACTCTTGGCTTACAATGAGATATGGGAGTTCGCTATCAGGTGAGTCTTCAATCAATTAGTGTAAATGTTTTATTCATCACGGTAAAATAATAACAATATTGACAACATACGCCGTTTACATCTGTGTGGGCTGTAAGATTGTTAGGAATTCATTCATCCAGTGGGTAGTAAACAGTTTGATTTATCTTGCAATCTTGAGAAATGAATAAACAGATTGGTGTAGAAACCACTTTATCTTTAAAAATGGTGGTAACCACTACCATCTGCACGTGTTTGTATTTTCATGATTGGTGATATTTAATATAATTTAGGTTTAGTGTCTGAAATGCTATTATTCTACATAGATATTCTCGATCATCCGGGATGACTTCCACAGTCACTGAAGCGAATGCACTTTCATAGTTATTCATTTAGGTTATTTTCTGATATTTTTAGTACTTATACCTCAGCTAGCGAAATGTATTTTCCAAGGGTAAGCAAAATGTATTTCACTTTCCAAATACATGCATTTCTACTAAGTTATAAATGACTTCGATTGTATGATAGCCAACCATACATGACAGCTCAAATCCTTATTTGATTATAATGCGGTTAAGTATCAATTGAAAGCTTATGAACCTGTCTAGTACTCTATAACTCATATCAAATTGAATTCTCTATTTAGTTTGTAGTTGTAACTGGTATCTTTGACAAACTTCGGTTGTGAATTTGTTCCAATGAAAAAAGAAAGTCCAAGTAAAGTACCGGAGTTTTAAGACATGGAATACTACTGGTTTGATACTTTTGTCACTTTTTCTGAGTAGGTAACAAATAAGGTTTATTATTTATTCCTTTTCTTTTCAGTTTATTCGAACAGTGTTCTACACAGCGAAATCGTATGGAAGGTTACAGAAAAAAGTGTTATTCTTCAGGTCATCGACTACTGAATCATGATCGATTAGTGTGTAACCTCTTGTCAGCCCTATTTTTTCTTGAAAATGCAGTCGAAAATAGTTATTTTAAATGCTCAAATATATCTGTCATCTGTACACGGATATTTAGATCACTCAATAAATGCTTGGAGCTAGATGCATGCCACCTAAACAACTCTCCTTGGCGTGTTCGTTTGATGGTTTTAAGCAGTGATAATATCAAGTTGTCGCGAAATTTAATCCCTTGTGATGCCTTTATTGGATCAAAAATTCCGAATGTTTTATTATTCTGCCCGTGTATCAGTTTCCTGTTAAATAACTATGTGAAAATTTGGAATGCTGAAGGTGACTTCATGGCAAATGAAACAACAAATACTGAAGTTCCTTTGGGAATGAGTAATTTGTTAAGTGGTATTCTCTGGGCATACAAAAGTTTATTAGGCGAACCCACTCCTACTATTCAATCTTCTAATCCTTGGTTTTATACAGACAATGACTTGAGTCAGCCACTATTTAGTAGTCAAGATCATATTGAAGCTATTGATTTTATCAGAAAAGCTATATCAGTTCACACTCATTTGGATGCAGATTTGCTTATTACTGAAGAGAATTTACCTATTTTGGTTATCCTTCTGACTACAGAATTATCATTTATTCGGTTTAAATTTCGTTTGTTAAAGAGTGAATGTAGATATCTTAATGAGCTAACACCTTTTTATGTTGTATTGATGAAACGGGTTTTAGAGCGAACAATGCATAGTTTGGTATTGAGCATTCAGGATTCCAGTGACAAAGATACAAATAGAAAATCTGACTTCTTCGTCCAGCTTTGTAGCAGTGATTGTCATCACGATTGCAGAAGAATAGAGGTCTTCTTGAAGTCTTTCGAAGTTTTGTTAGAATCACTAGCCTTTGGTATCGATGATGTGTCGCAGATCTTGTCAACACACATGGAACAATTGATAAATATGTCGACCACTCGTACTGATCATTCAACCTCTAAAGAATGTACAGACGTACAGTTTGTTCCGGACAATTCATTTAAGCCCATAGTGGCGTCTAGCCAATTGAAGCAAACTCACTTTGGAGATGAAGATTTTAATGATTGTAATTCACCTGTAGTTACTGAAACACTAGACATTCAAGATAACCATGATAGTTATGAAGAAATCCGGACAAGGAACAGTTCTCGTTTGTCTGTACGAATTCGTTTGCTCACTTGCCTGTTACTTTATGGTCTTAGAAGTAACAACACCAGCCTACTAAGACAAATTCACAACTCCTTACATGAATCATTTGGAAGAACTTTTTTGGATGATAAAGAGTCTATCAAATGGCTATGTAAACTTACCGAAAATATATCACAGTCTATACGTAAAGCATTTTGTGGTACAAAGTATGGCTGTAAGTTGAGCAGTGATCTTGCAGAAGTGATTATATTCTTTATCAGTTCTATGATAGATGCCATTCGCCAAGTCCTTCAATCCGTCATAGCGCACTGCAGTCAGTTTTTGCGTATCTCTCCAGTTATTAAGTTAATTCATTCGCTTTGTCAGTTATCCGACTGCATTGTGTGTGTTCATCAGATTCACAAAGAAACACTTCATAGTGAGACAGATAGTTGGAAATTAATTGGCAAACATGCTGACCAATTAATTCGAACTATTTGGTCTGTTGGATCTAAGTTTTCGAAATCTTTACGGGGATTTGAACTTGGCCCTGTTAATTGCTTAGAGTCCTGGATGAAAGTGAGTTAAACTATTTGTTTGATAATAGATTGTATTGATCTGACTATTTTCTTATTTCTTTGTTCTTCACCTTGATGTGATAAATAAGGTATGGCAACGTAAACCGCTACTCAATATTACCAGGTCCCACGTTGGTACTGACTGGTATGGAGTAAAATTGTCCAGTAGCCTTTTTTTTGTTAAATCTACCATAAAATTCTCATATACCCAGTTATATGACTACAGTTTTTGGCAGGGTGTGGAAACTGATTGGTTTTAGGTTGACTTGATTTATTGATTTTTCCTCGGACAATTTTTATTTCCTCTCTAAGAAGATAATACACCTTCGCTCTAGCTTTCCGTTTACTTTGAGGTTGTTAAGGGTCAAACTGTCGGTTGTGTGAAAATGAAACTACTCAGCATCCTCCAAGTTTGTGGGATGCAGTCAAAACACTTCGAAGAATAAAATGTATTCATTTTATTTCATAACTTCTCTGCAACTGTATACAAGCTTCTCAAATGTTCATCTAATGAATAAAAGCGTGAACATACGTTACACGTAGTATCTTCTTTGGTCTATCTAGTTCAGTGTTTTGGCGTGCAAGTTTAGACACGCAGATTATTGACAAAACAAGGAATATGTAGCGTTAAAACTAGATTCAAGTACTTTCATCTTATAACCATGAGTAATAAATTTCCTACAATAAATAAGCGAAAGTCAAAGAGTAAAACCCGTTAGGTATAAGTATATTCGTTTGAAAATTATTCAAGGTAGATTCAGAAGTATGCAACGAATGGCAACAATAGTAACGTTGTGATCGATGGAAAGCAAACTGAATTAATCTCTCAGACGGTACCAGCACTATGGAAGATTGCTTACCAACTCTTGAACATACATATTGTGTCAGATATTTTTAATGACAGTAGATTCTGTATTTCGAAGTGGAATTAAAGTTTCATGTCTGTTTCGCACTGTTTTCATTATCTCTTTTTGATGCTCTGCCTCTATAATGCTGGGACCTGTCAAATAATTTAGAAAGACAATTTCTAACTTTGTCGAGACGATTTGTTAGGGATAGTGCAGCGGAAATTTTCTTCCCTAGGAAGTATTTAAGTATTTCTAGAACTTGGGATTCAGTGTTAAAACCATCTTTAGTGTCGATCAATGCATGATTGTAAATCAACACAAATTATCAGTTGACTGTTGATAAAGTGACTCTTCTAATTGTTACATTCACTCATCTTTCATGTTGTATGAACATTCTTATAGCTTTATTCTGCGAAAATAATTGATACACGAAGTGGTCCAGAATATTGTTTAGCTCCAGCATTTCAACATATTACACCGATTGCGACTTTTCAATTGGCCAACTTCCTTCAGAGGTAAACTCTTCAGTAAACTTTAATTCTCGTTTTTCTGATATTATGCTGATACTTACATAACAAAGACCTATTTATTTTATAAATTTCTTAGTGGCAGCTAGTTGTGGAATCCAGGGCTTGCGTTTCATTCTATTTGGGACTTACCAACTGGATGTACTTGTCTCCCAGTGATTGGTGTTTTCACTGCAGCTGAACCCAGCACCTATTGCTTCAAACGCCTGAGCGTTATTCGCTGGGCAACAAGAAAGACTCCGCATACAAGCCCATATGCAAACAGTGGTCAGTTGATTTGACTTAATATAACCACGGGGAATTACAAACTAATAAATAACGACTGATAAATTCGTTTATTTAGAACTGTAAATGTTTAGGGAGATACTTTAAGAGTTTCCAATCAACTCTCATGGAGATATAATCAAGTGAAATATTCGTGTGCATTACTTTTCAGTTATATGTTCCACTATGAATCTTTATTCACATTTGAACTAAACAAACTGCGTCTTATTGTGATTGCAGATTTGAATGAGTTTCGCTTAAACACAGCTTAGGAATAGTCTCAGCAGTCTCATAGAAACTAAAGCAGTAAGGCCACTCACTGGAAAATCTGTATTTCCTCCCATAAACATGTACTATGCTAAATGAAAAGGATCCAGAGGAACTTTTTATCAGACCTACATTCATTTTCCGTGCAGCAGACATACGTGGATCTTGGTAACTTTCTTTATCCACTTCCTATGTTTTTGTATATTGGAAGCAATGACGAAAACCCTGTAATACATATTTCCAGCTGTTCAATCGCTGGTATGTGTTCTTGTGATAGCTCGTCGAAAATCTGTTATGGCTTCATTTTTCCTTAACTTCGGCTGTCGAATGTCAAGACGAGTAATTTCCGTTACCAGCCGAGAAGACAATTAGGTGACACTGCCAGACCTTAAAGAATGAACGGATAATGGCCATCACTTACTACAACTGTGCTCAGACAACCGTAGATTCATAGTCAGCACGAACTTTAGAGAGGCATTGTCTGACGTGGCGTCAGGCAGTCAGTGAGGTTGTGAATCTTCATCGACTGAGGTTGTTGAACAAGTATTGCTCATGCCTAGCCTCCGCCTACCTCGACGTGCAATGCCTGTGGAAATTGGAGTAGGTAGGAAGAGAGTTCGGGGTGGCCAGACTAAGATGTGGTACCGGTCGGTGAAGTCTGTGATTGTTGGTCTGAGCTGTGTAGGAAGATGTAGGCTGTCTGACTCGGGTCCCCGAGACAATAGGAATCGATGATTGATGACTTGGTTACATGGCTGAAAATCTCTGACTGAAAAGTCACAATAGCGCAGATGTATTCACTGTTTGGTGTCTTCTAAAGCTTGAATGTTTTGACTAACCTTGATTTTCAAATTCCCCATTTTAAATTCTACATGGCTTTCAACCATTTCGGCTACTTTCGAGTTTATATTTCTGGGCATGATCTTTTCGCTTCCTATCTAATATATTGAAATAAAGAATGTTAACATATACTGTTGTGCAGAACTATCATATTCGATACTGAAACCAACTCACCTGGTTGAGGTCTAATACTTTTTACGTAGGACTGTATCACCTACGTGTTTATTTCCGATATATGCATTTTATGCTGTTGAATACCAAAAAGCTGTATATGTCACAACTGAGTATAAGTTTATGTGTATCAATGTTTCACCTACAAAATATTTAGGTACTCGAAAATCAAAATAATGTTTTCAGTTTGATAGAAGTAATTGCAGAAAGAGTACATTTTGGAGAATAAAAATGACCATTTTTAAGTATAATCCAGCTTACTGATGACATATTTGCTGAAATACTTGTCCACGAAAGCTATAAGGCCAGTTCAAAAAATTAGAACTCAGTAACCATACTCACCTCGCCTGGTTAACTAGTTTACTAGTTACTAGCCGGTCCTAAGCCCGGGTAAAGAGGGAAGGTTGGGCATAGGGCTAGCAACCCTACCCCGTAAAACAAATCTAACCGCTAAACAAACTTCAAAGCACAAACAAAATATAAAAAATGAAAACAAACTTATTCCCCGCTGGAATCGGAGAGGCGAAATGACGCCAGTTGGTGAAAGCCTTCGGGAAGCCAATTGGCCGATGTGTCTTCACCTCTCTCGATGAAAGCGAAAGTAAACGTGGGGACATGGAATGTCCGTACGATGTTTGAACCCAGCAAGGCAGCCCAGATTGCAAAGGAGATGAGAAGGTATCACATCGAAGTGCTTGGGATTTGCGAAAGCAGATGGAATGGGAGTGGACTCTCCAAACTATCAACTGGAGAATCAATAATCTACTCCGATATTGTCACACAGACGCCAACCACGAGCACACTGAGTTATGGAGTGGCTATCATGATGTCACCAAGAGCATCGAAGGCTCTCATGCAGTGGGAACCAATCTCCTTGTGTGGGATCATGACAGCAAGATTCAACTCAAAAGGAAGGAAGAAAGGTCACAATCATACAATGTTATGCACCTACAAATAATGAAGAGCAAGAGAAAAAGGAGGATTTCTACAGACAACTTCAATCAACACTGGACAAGACGTCAGTTGGCGATATCAAAATTCTAATGGGTGGACATGAATGCCAAACTGGGAGGGGACAACACAGGAAGAGAACTAACCATGGGTCGAGAGGCACTAGGTGAAATGAATGAGAATGGAGAATTGTTTGCAGAATTCTGCGCATTCAACGATTTGGTGATTGGAGGCAGTGTGTTCAGGCACAAAGATATCCACAAAGCGACATGGATTTCACCAGACGGACACACTAAAAATCAAATCGACTTTATCTCAATCTCGAGAAAATGGAGACGCAGTCTACTTAACACAAGGTCAAGAAGAGGAGCAGATGTAGGTTCAGACCACTCACTGTCTAGTGCAAGGAACCTTTCAAATCAAGTTGAAAGCCTTCAAGGAAGCTGGTGATAGACCTCAATTCAAGTACAACACTTGGAAACTGAAGGATAAAACTACAAAGGAAATCTTCACGGCAGCCAGCCATCAAGACAAAATGGGAGATATCGACGAACATCCCTGAAGAAACGTGTGTGGAAGAACACTGGAAGTCTTTGAAAGCTATGTGGAGAGAAACCTGCACAGCCGTATTAGGAAGGAAGAAGAAAGAAGACAAGGAATGGATCTCGACGGATACATGGAAGCTGATAGAGGAGTGAGAGGTGGATGGTGAAACAGAAGATAAACCAGTGCAAGGATGAACAATGACAAAAGGAATTGAGTACAATGTATAAAACACTGGACAAAGAAGTGAAGAAGAGTGCATGGAAAGACAAAAGACACTTCTACAAAACACTGGCAAGTGAAGCAGAACAGGCTGCAGGTAAGAGAGACCTGACGACATTGTATCAAATAACCAGGTTGCTATCAGGGAATAGACCAACACAGATGAAACCAATAAAAGATGAAGAAGGAAATTTAATTACGAAAGAAGAGAAACAGAGGAAACGATGGGCCGACCACTTCAAGAAGCTCTTGAATCGACCACCACCACCACCACCTGCACTTCGTCCAGAAATACCACCAGCAGCCAGCCGCTGAATTACAAGTGAACATAAATCCCCCAACGAAAATGGAAGTCCTGAACGCCTTAAAGCTACTGAAATGCGGGAAAGCAGCAGGACCAGATGGAATACCGCCAGAAGCACTGAGAACAGATGCAGAGACAACAGTGGACATGCTCACACCACACCACTATTGCAGAAGGTGTGGAAGGAAGAGAAGGTACCTGGCTAGTGATTGGAAGAAGGGTTACCTTGTCAAACTGCCGAAGAAGGGAGACCTGAGTGCTTGCAAGAACTGGTGCGGAATCACTCTCCTGTCCACCCAAAGCAAGTAAAATATTAAGCCGCATCATCCTGGAGAGGCTAAGGGAGGCACTGGATTCAAAACTGCGACCGGAACAGGCAGGCTTCAGGAAGTACAAATCATGTGCAGACCAAATTGCAACGCTTCACTACGCATCATCATAGAACAGAGCATAGAGTGGCAATCAGCTCTCTACCTCAACTTCATCGACTTTGAGAAGGCCTTTGATAGCGTCGACCGAGAAGTAATTTGGAAACTGCTTCAATACTACGGAGTACCGCAAACCTTTATCCGCCTCATTCAACAACTATATGAAGATGCCACATGCCAGCCAAGTAATTCACAATGGGAAGCTCAGTGATGCTTTCGAAGTGAAGACAGGAGTGAAACAAGGTTGCCTACTATCCCCCATGATATTCCTTATTGTGGTCGACTGGATCATGCAGCAAACAGTAGGCAGCGAGAAGAGGGGGATACACTGGACGACGGAAAAGAACCTAGAAGACTTGGATTTCGCCAACGATGACTTGTGCCTAATGTCACATAAACTTGAAGATCTGCAGGCAAAAACTAACAAGTTGATAGAAGAGGCAGCGAAGACGGGACTTCAGGTGAATATAGAGAAGACAGAAGTGATGAAGATACCACACCACCAACTCCAACAACAACAACAACAAACTCCAGTCACCATCAACGGGAGAAACTTGAAGGAAGTAACCTCCTTCACTTATCTAGGAAGCACTGTTTCAACTACAGGCGGGACGGACGAGGACGTCAAAGTCAGAATCGGAAAAGCAAGACAGGCATTCATTAGCCTGAAACCAGTGTGGAGATCTTCTGCACTCAGCATGCGGATCAAGATACGGATTTTCAACACCAACGTCAAGTCAGTGCTTCTGTATGGTTCAGAGACTTGGCGCGTTACGAAAGGCATTTCCAATAAACTACAGACATTCATCAACAACTGCCTGCGCTGGCCTGTCACTGAAGATCAGATGGCCAGAATGAAAGAATAAGCAACAAGGAACTCTGGCTGGGAACGAACCAACCAAGAACCTATCACGCAACAAATATGCAGGAAGAAGTGGAGATGGATTGGCCATGCACTGAGAAGGCCGACGGAGGACATCACGCGTCAGGCCAGTCGCTCGAGTGGAATCCCCATGGGAAGCGACGAGTTGGACGTCCGAGGGTGACATGGAGGAGGTCGTGCGAGGAGGAAATGAGAGGTTGTGGGCTGTCGTGGGACCAGGTTCAAAAGATCTCAGAGAACAGAGTGTACTGGAGGCGTGCTACTGAAGCCCTATGTTCCACTAGGAACCCAAGGGACTAATAATAATAAATAATAAACCATACTCATGTAATAAAGCATTTGTTTGGCTTTTAATGAGTTAACTCTACTTTTTTATGCTTTGACCAACATGTTTCGTGTGACTTTTAATCGGTAATCTACACTTAGTTATAATTTTGTCTACCT